ACTCTGTCGTCTCCCACAAAGGACTTGTCTACTGCATTGGAGGAAAGACAGATGACAAGTGAGTAAATGCATGTTTGTGTGTGAATATGAGAGAGAGAGAGCTTGTGCTGTGAGCTGCAGCTGTTTGGGGTCTGGCAGACTGCAGGGCTACATCATAGACAACAATTACACTGTTACAGTCCAGGACTGTGTAATGCACAACAGTAAAGAAAATACTGATCCTGTGCAAGAGTGAAGCACTGAATACAACAGTGATACATGAACACAAAAGGCGACAAGTCCTCACAACTTAGGATTTTAAATACTGTATCTAATAATAAGCTGATCAGTCGATTTAGTGTTTTCAACACTAAGACAACACTGCTAATCATCAAGAGGAAACAGGTGTGCCTCTCCTGCCCTGAATTCAGGTGGGGCTCTGTCTCAAAAAAGTAGGTGTGAAAGCCTTAATCAGAGAGTGAATGTCATCATTGAGCTCTCTTTTTAAACGACCCAAGAAATGAAAGAAGAAATTAAACCAAGGTATGAACAAATACATGGATACATGTTATTTATGTTCCCCAGTTAGAATAGAATAGAAACCTGCATACAGACATACACTCATCATAACCTAACTTGTAGACTTAAATATATTTATAATTTAGAGACTGCATCCGTATACTGACAATAAGTTGTACTTGTTAGACCACACCCTTACAATAACAGTGATACTCTTTATTTATAGAGCACTTTTCAAAACCCCTGTTACCAAGGCAGCAAAATAAAATGTCAGGTTAAAACAAGTATTTGATGTATAAAAACCAATACAGTGTAAGCAAAGGTAAGAATAGGAAAAGAAAAACGTCCTTAAAGGAAATAAAAGACAGTTCAAAGAAAATCTGGCTCTCCAATAAAAGTACGTTTTAAGAAGGAGATCTCTAACTGACCTGATCCTCCCAAAGTGTATTACATTTCTTATCATATATTTAGATTGTGCTGTTTTAAAATATCTCATCCTTATCTGCCATGCAACTATTTTTAATATCTAATAAATTGTATCTGTTATGTCCAGGTGAATCCTCTTGTAGATGCCTTCAATACAGACAGTATCCTGAATTTCATTTTCAATCAACTATATCCAGGATTGATCCAGATTAGATTAGCTTTAATCCTGTCCCATTCTATAGTATTTGTTGTCAGATATTTGACGCAACATCAAACTGTATCTGAAGTTGGAGTAAAACTTCAGGATGTTACCTCCAAATTGTAGATTAATTGTCCAAACTAAAACCAATCTAGTGTATTTTAAATGTATTTAAAGAAACTTAGTGCACTTATCCTTTAGTTTTCTAATTTCTTTCTTTCTTTCTTATTTCTGTTGATTATTCTCGTCTCTCTCTATTGTATTTTGTCCTATAACGCTTTCTTTTCATTGATTTATATTCTGTTTCCTTCCTAACTTATTTAGTGCTTTTTCATCTTTCATCTTTTTCATCAAACATCTTTTGACATAAAAAAAATCCCACAGTTGTTGTCTTCCTTTCATCTCCACAGCAAAGCCCTCAACAAGATGTTTGTGTACAACCACAAGCAGTCTGAGTGGAGGGAGCTCGCGGCCTTGAAGACGCCCAGAGCCATGTTCGGCGCTGTCATCCACAACGGCAAGATCGTGGTGGCTGGTGGAGTCAATGAGGAAGGCCTCACTGCTACCTGCGAAGCCTATGACTTTGCAACAAACAAGTACGATTCTGTTTGGGCTTGTTTTACCTTTCAGTTGGGGAATTGTGTTAAAAATCATATACATTTTCTACAATCAGCTTTTTGACATTTAGCATTAATCATATAACTACCACATACTTTCGAGCCCCAAAATGTTGAATAGTATATGAATAAATAACACATCATGAAATGAACACATGAATAAATTGAACACAGAAAAATTAAATATATCTCAAAGATATAATTAAACCAATAAATTGTGAAATACATTCCTCATTATGATAAAATATTATCTTGTCATTTTTATTTTCAAATAATAGAAAATCTTTTTGTATGTGTTTTGATATCAATTTCATTTCATGTCACATTTATTTCGTAATGTCGTGTTTCGTTATATCACATGCCCCCAGCCGCCCAAGCAGGCTCACAAACTGCCAGCTAACTATCAAGCTCCAAACAAACTTATATGTTTTTCTCTGAAACAACAAATTTGAATCAAAAGGCTGCCGTTAGCACTGGCTCTCTCAGCTTGAAGATATCAAATAAAAGTGTCAACATGGAGAAAGATAAGCATTTCCTATAATAAAGCGGAAAATAAGGAGTATTTTTATTTTTACATTGCTTATTTCACATTTTCTTATATATGTATATATATATATATATATATATATATAATATATATATATATATATATATATATGTATGTATTTAATGTATGTCTTTTGGCCTCCATATACCACATCTCAGTTAACTTAGCTGCTTAAAAAAATGAATTTGGATGAATGTACCAAGATACAACAGGCATCTAAATTGAGAGCTCCATCTTACGTTTGACCTTCTCCTAATGTTGTGTCGCCTCAGGTGGGAGCCCTTCACAGAGTTTCCCCAGGAGAGGAGCTCTGTCAACCTGTTGTGCAGCGGTGGCTCCCTGTACGCTGTGGGCGGCTTCGCAATGGTTGAGATGGAGAACAAGGAGGTGGCTCCCACAGAGGTCACTGACGTCTGGCAGTAAGTCTTCTCAAGTTATGGGATTTGCATTTTTTGGTTGGTTACCATTGTGTTTGTTGCGAGATCTGAACACTCCTCTCGGTCTTTTTAGGTACGAGGACGATAAGAAGCAGTGGAGTGGCATGCTGAGGGAGATGCGTTACGCTGCCGGCTCCTCCTGTGTGTCCATGCGCCTCAATGCTGCAAGGATGCCAAAATTGTAGACAGAATCACTTTCTTTCTTTATTTCTTTCTTTACCCCTCCAACTACACCTCCTGACACCCCCCTCCTCCCCAAGTGAGCTGCCTCCAAGGCGTCTCATCCTCTGCACTCGGATTTCTGTGTGTCAAGTTGATCTTTGACATTAATTTTTCTCAGAACTCAGATGATTTTTATCTGTACTATAAACACTTGGCTCTGCTGCCTCTTCAAAGACTGCATCCTCCCCACAATAAAAAAAAAAAAAAGAAGCCACAATTTAGATTGATCTATAAATCTCTGTTTACATCATTTCTAGCTCTTCTTTTGTAAAATAAACATTTGTAAACTCCTGCTTCCTTTACTGTTTTTGAGTGTGTGTGATCTAAAGAAAAGTGACATTAGAGACTGCCTCACCACGTCGAGGGCAGCTTCTGTAGCTTCTTTGTACTTTCAGGTAAACAAGGATGTGGGACTGGGTTAATAGCATGTGAAGTCTTGACATTTAAACACATCATAATGATCTTCAAACATGTGTCACAAGTTCCAGAAATGGAAACAACACAAATGACAAAAAGTTTAGATACATCTCTGCAGTTTACCCTCACGCTGAATGAATACATTCACGCTAAGTCATAACAGTTTACACTTACATTAACTGGATCATGACACATGAGGATTTTACATCACATTAAAATGAACATGTACACCACTGGAGCTGTAAAGGAAGTGTCAATTTAAGTGTAAGCACCAAGTGAAGTTCAAGTGTCAGTCTACAGAAATCTAACGCACAGAGAGAAGTGAAACTGAGAGAAGTGAAACTGCTGGAAAAAAGCTGTTCATTAAGTTAAACTTCAAGCTGTGGAAGGAGCTGTGGGACTTGGGGGCATAAATGTTGCGTGAAACCAAAGCTGAATATCTGATAATAATAATAATAGCTCTGAAAAAAGGTTTGTGAATCTGATTCATTTGGGAACAATAAAGAAGCAAAAGTGTTCTGCAAAGGCTTGCAATATTCAAGTTACCAAGATTAGTTCTGAAAGCAAAACGACATATATGAGATGGACAGACTTTTGACAGGAAAAGTAAAACATGTCTTGCTTGTCAAGCGCACCCATCAGTCAAATCGCAAATACAGTCTGAAAAAGCATCTTGCTCTGAAGTTCACTGTCAACATACGGAAGTAGGAGTGATTTGTGTTTGTGGAAAATCTCATGCTGTCAGAGTCTCTGTCTCTCTGTTCCTCCTCTTCAGCCACTTTACTGCTTCCCCAGGACCTTTCATTGCCATTTTCCATCCGACGTCCACCAGATGCCCTCAGACTCTTCCTCCTTTCCACATCACCTGATAGCCCCAACCATTTACACACTTACAGTACTTAACCAGTTAATTCCCACTCACTCCTTGCCAGATCGGCCTATGTTATGGTCCTGTGTTCTAATTAGGGATTACCTGCATGTTTTGGACCTTATTGCCTGACTATTGGACTTTTGTTTCTTGCTTGCTCCTTGTAGGATTTGTTCGATTTGTTTGGACTGTATATAAAAAAGGTGTGGACTGCCTTCTCTGGTTTTGCCTCTTGCTGCCTCACCATCCTATAAACCTGTGTTCCTCCATATTGCTAGAAATTATTGAACTGCATCAGCTCTCTCTCATATGGATGTGGGGCAGCGGCGCTGGCAAACTACCATACATGCAGGAAAGGCAGTTGCATAGGGGCCCGTGGTAGTTGCGGGGCCTGTAAGTTAAGTTATCTCTCAAATTAGTATAATTATAAGATCATTAGAAACAACCATTTTCACAAAGTTATCATATCGTGCAATTATTCCCTGAGATATTGCAGTAGGTCTGTAAAGTACTCAGTGAGTCAGGCCTCTTTCTCTCTCTTACACTTGTCATTCATATTCAGTAACAATACAATAACATTAAATACTTTTACACACAAACACTCCATTGCCACATAACTCTGAAGTAGGTACGTCTAAATTAAGTTTAAATATGTGAATAAGGATGAATTCATGGGATTTTATGTCAAAGATGTTCATTCTGTGGGCCCGCACAGAATTCTGGGTAATTTTAATAGCAAAATCCGCACAGAAGAGTAGCTAGCTAGTGAAGTGACAGCAAGAGGGAAATTAACTCTATATGGAGTACAAACACAAAAGTCTGGTTCAGCAGCAGCTGAGCAAGAAAAAGCAAAGCCACCAAAATTTTTAATTTTCCTTAAACAGAAAGACTGATAGCAGCAAACACGAGTTGTGAGCAAGAGGAGCCGAAGGGGACACCTGCTGCTAGCTACAGCATCGCGCCATCCACCGTGAGGACGAGTAACGTTACTGCCCCCCGACACTTTCAGACTTCTACAGCCTGAAACACTTTACTGCTGCAGAGCAACTGAGTTATGCGATATTAAACTCTACTGAAATGACATAACCTCGACATTTCCCACGCAACTCCTGTCAGTCCGCATCTGAAGAGTGAAAACAGCACTAGAACTAAGCAAGATGTTGTTTGTGGACAACAACTGCATCGCTGCAAGCTTTGGGGTAAGTTGACGTTAGTCTGCACCGTTTTACTGCTTTTCATAAAAATCCCAGTGACTGTGGCCTCTGCAGAACGATCTTTTCCCAAACTCACACTTATAAAATCTTACCTGAAGAGCTCACTGGGGCAGACTAATCTGGACACACTGTCACACACTGAGAATGCTCTGAGCTGCAGCTGGATTCAAAGGGTTTAATAAACAACTTTGAAAAAGCTCAGGAGAGTGCGCCTAAAATATAAGTAAAACTTGTTTATTTGACTAGTAATCAATCCACACACTTGTGTTATGTGTTTATAATGCCTAGTTTATAATGCCCTTTTGTCATTGATCATCATCTTTTTCCATATGTAGGTTGAAGTGGTTTGAAGGTGCGCCGTCACCACTCATGTGTTCATATGTTTTGAAGGTGCGCCGTCACCACTCATGTGTTCATATGTTTTGAAGGTGCGCCGTCACCACTCATGTGTTCATATGTTTTGAAGGTGCGGCGTCACCACTCATGTGTTCATATGTTTTGAAGGTGCGGCGTCACCACTCATGTGTTCATATGTTTTGAAGGTGCCCTGTCACCACTCATGTGTTTATATGTTTTGAATGTAAGCTGTCATCACTCATGTGTTCATATGTTTTGAAGGTGCCCTGTCATCACTCATGTGTTCATATGTTTTGAAGGTGCCCTGTCACCACTCATGTGTTCATATGTTTTGAAGGTGCACCGTCACCACTCATGTGTTCATATGTTTTGAAGGTGCGCCGTCACCACTCATGTGTTCATATGTTTTGAAGGTGAGCCGTCACCACTCATGTGTTCATATGTTTTGAAGGTGCGCTGTCACCACTCATGTGTTTATATGTTTTGAAGGTGCGCCGTCACCACTCATGTGTTCATATGTTTTGAAGGTGCCCTGTCACCACTCATGTGTTTATATGTTTTGAATGTAAGCCGTCATCACTCATGTGTTCATATGTTTTGAAGGTGCCCTGTCATCACTCATGTGTTCATATGTTTTGAAGGTGCGCCGTCACCACTCATGTGTTCATATGTTTTGAAGGTGCACCGTCACCACTCATGTGTTCATATGTTTTGAAGGTGCGCCGTCACCACTCATGTGTTCATATGTTTTGAAGGTGCACCGTCACCACTCATGTGTTCATATGTTTTGAAGGTGCGCCGTCACCACTCATGTGTTTATATGTTTTGAAGGTGCGCCGTCACCACTCATGTGTTCATATGTTTTGAAGGTGCGCCGTCACCACTCATGTGTTCATATGTTTTGAAGGTGCGCCGTCACCACTCATGTGTTCATATGTTTTGAAGGTGCGCCGTCACCACTCATGTGTTCATATGTTTTGAAGGTGCCCTGTCATCATTCATGTGTTCATGTTTTGAGGTGCGCTGTCACTGGTTAGGCTGTGTTTTAATCTCTTATGGTGCTCTAACACCAATTTCACTGTCTTGGCCTTACTATTATAACTCATATTTTTTGCAGAACGCTGTTTGGTTTCATTTAATGAAGGTGTCAACTGTGCAGTGCATTTCGCTGTGGCTGGTAGTTTTAAAGCTGCAAGCTTTCACCTCTTTAATTTGTTACTGACATTATGCTACTTTGATTGTGACGGGAGGACCCGTTATGACCATCTTGCATCAGGGCCCTGTGCCAACTTGTTACGCCCCTGATGTGGGTCCGACCCCTGTGTTCCTGTTACCCTGCTTGAACCAGCCTTTAGGCCCCAGTTTGAGCAAAGTTAAAAGCTGCTCTAATCTTTATATTTATACTGTATTAACAATGGATCAAATGACTACAGAATGTATAAAGTCAAATGGGTGACGAACACACAAAATGATCACCCACGTGTGCATTTCCCCTCTGCTCTTTGGGGTGATTTAGTGTCTTTTCGCTCGTTGTTTTGGTTTTACAGAATGAAACTTCATTACTTAGGTTAGTCTCACTGGTCTCATCTCTGTTTCCAGATGCAGTAAGCAGCTTGAAACATTCTGATAAACCCATTGTACCCTACCTGCCCAGCACCAAAAAGCAGACAAAGTTAGGGACTTCAGAAGCTACTGTGTCAGATATTTCCCTCAGGAGTTGGTGTGGACCACAATGGAGCTAAAAGGAAGGTGAATATTGGACTAAGTTGCAGGAGGTAAACACGACTCCAAATGAATGTGGCTCTGTATGTGGTGCATCTGTTAATAAGCAGCTGTTTGATAACGCGCTTGCCATCTCACCATGCAGCACCTTTGTGCTTTGTGTTGCGCTGCCCCCAATTAGCCATCAGTTAATACAAGCTTAACTTTCATTTTACAGAAACATAAGTGCTGCTACTGGGTGATATAAATCTAATTTATTTCCACCACTGTGAACCACTGTGTGAAAGTATGTGGGCAGAATTCACAGGTAAGTTTCAGTTTTAGTAATAATTGATATTTGAAAGTAGGGATATAAAAGTTGCTCATAAAACTAATATAAATCTGTGGCAGCTGTTCAAATAATATGTAAGTCTGAGTTAGTAAAACGGATGGCACTGTTATTTAAGAGTTAATTTAACTTCCTTATTACTTTCTTTACTACCTTACAAAAACCAAGGTCTGTGTCTGTGCCACATTTAGCTCTGCGGTGTCGCACTGAGGTAATCACATGCCTGTTTGAAGAAATGACAAAGACTTTATAGAAATACTCCCAGTTCATTTTTCTGAACAAAAGGTACACTTGGGAGTTTAATTCATCAAGAAGCAATGAATGTGTTGCTGCACTTGCCCTCCCTTTTTTCTCTCCAAATTCACCTGAAACACGATCTGTGCAAATAAAGCGACCATGAGCTTTATCAGCTCAAGCATGACACAAGGAAGTCTGCATGTGCGCATGGCTGAAGGTGAAGCACACAACAGCGGGCTTTGAAACAAAATATGCTGGAGTTTCCCCCTGGGCGTGAATGTCTGGAAGGGATGAGGAGACAGTAGGAGGAAGAGTGAAGGAGGAATGGATGTGAAAACAGAGATGGGACACTGAAGGCTTGGAGTTAGCGCTGATGAGGACACTGTAAAAGTGAGTAGAAAACTCTATTTCCCCCCCCAAACTACCTTTATGACTCAGTCTCTATGTATGCATTTTAACACTGCTGGATAGAGTTTGTATTTTTATTTTTTTTAAATCAAAATATAATCTATAATTTAATGAGGACAAGTTCCTGTCTTATGAAATCTGAGTGTACATGCAATGTGTAAATGACACCTCACACATCTCCTCACATCCATAATGAGAGCAGATTGCAGTGACAGCATTACAGGAAGCAGCCATCAAGCCAGGGTGCCATAGGCGCTGTCATATCCTGAGAGGCTTTCAGAAACCAGACTGTTGACGAGCAGAGAAGAAGATTTTGTTTGCTTCTTTCCCACTGAGTTTGCTTGATTATTTGTTGCTTTCCTAGTCTGCTCGCCTCTGGGTTTCTTTCCCTGCTCTCTCCATCCTTCCTCAAGCAGTAATTGCCAATGACACTGATATGACAGCTGAGGGAAAGTGGAATGATGATTTGCTCAAATCCCATTTTTTCCTCACCCAACAACTTGTACTGTATATGTATTCATTTGAATTGGGAATTGGACAAATTCCCAGGGATGTAAAATTCATTTAGCTCAAATATACAAATATTAATATATATTAAAGCTGCATTAATCAATATGCAGGGCCACAGCTTTACATACCAGTCAAAGCAGTCAGCTAAATCCTGTGAAAATGCTGTAAAAAGTTTACCGGTTGCCAGGAGAACGGTACTTTCCTGACTGCATTGTGCCAAGTGTAAAGTTTGGTGGGGTGCGGTTGTTTTTCAGGGGTTGGGCTTGGCCCCTTACTTCCAGTAAAAGGAACTGTTATTGCTTTAGGATACCAAGACATTTCGGACAATTTCATGCTCCCAACTTTGATGGACATCTGGACTTTGCTTTGGGCACTCGTGCTCATGACGCACCAGTGCCCAGTGCAGAGTCCATAAAGACATGGATGAGCAAGTTTGGCGTGGAGAACTCGACTGGCCTGCACAGAGTCCTGACCCCAACCTGACACCTTTCTTCACACCTTTGGGAGGAATAAGAGCGGAGACTGCGAGCCAGACCTTCTTGTCCAACATCTACACCTGACCTCACAAATGCGCTTCTTCCCATGTTCCCATGAACACACTCAAACCTTGTGGAAAGCCTTCCCAGAAGAGTTGAAGCTGTTATAGCTGCAAAGGGTGGGCCAACTCCATATTAAACTGAATGGGATGTCATTAACCTTTGTGTGCATGTAAAGGCAGGTGACCCAAAACTTATAATGTATAGCAACATAGTGTATATAATCCTAAATGACAGCAGATCTAACCTAAAACCCTTACTGGCTAGATTAAATATATACTGTAGAGAATAATGCAGTTGAATTTTGTCACTTCTGACAAACTGTACCCTTAAACACCACACCACGTCACGTTCTGAAATTTACAGCCGAACCCAATGTATTTTTTTCCCCATTTATTTTTATTAATTAATAAAAATTCCATCTGCAACAACGCACTACTGGCTAAGATAATCATGTATATTATATTGTACTCTGCATGGAATAATGGAATTATACATGACTTAACTTTGTTTTGAGATCAGCATTATATATCAGTCATCTGCCGCCATGCTTTCTGAATATCGGCATCAGCGGTCGACCGATATGAAAATCGGTCGCTGCTACTAGCATTGTGTTTGTACGCTGCCTCCAAGTGGCCAAAAAATTGTTTACTGCAGGTTTAAAGTTTAAATCAGTGGTTCTCAAACTTAGACCACGGACCATTTGATAAGAGACAGAAAGTGTATGACCCATGACCAAAATAGTCATACATTAGATCACTGTGCTACTTATTTCTGGGGACCTCCCTCAAGCACCTGGGGGTCCCCGGACCCCACTTTGAGAACCACTGGTTTAAAAAGCTTTTTGTACTGTACTAAAGAGCACATGTAAGATCAGCCGCCATGTTTTTTGGTCGTCAACACACCCTAGGAAGGCAAACCCCACCCCATGAAAATATTGACTACCGACCAGATTTATTTTTTCACACTTTAATTATAAATTATATTATGTATTCAAGTATAAGTATATATGTTCTATTAAAATGTTTATCTCCCCAAATGATTATTTAAATACTGTTTCCAATTCTTCTCACACTCAGCTGACTCTACAAATGTAAATATCTTGAGTCAACAAACATCAATGGAATTTGCTGCAGCTGCAGATTGTAAAATCCCAGAAACGAGGGCATGATCTCGGTGTCCTCAATGCTTGTTACAGCCTTGCCCTTTAGCCACTCTGTTTATTGTTTTATTTTACGTGTGTTACCCAACAGGGCTCAGCCATGGCCAACTGCACTGACGTGGACCAACTGATAAAAAGCTATTACCTGCCTGTTTCCTACACCATCATCTTCATCGTGGGCCTGGTGGGCAACGTAACCTCCATCGTCATATACCTGACAAAGCTGCGACCCTTGAAAAGCAGCAGCATCATTATGGTGAACTTGGCACTGACCGACCTCCTCTACGTTCTCAGCATGCCCTTCCTGGTCTACTACTACAGCAACATGGATGTGTGGACACTCGGCGACTTCATGTGCCGCTTGGTGCGCTTTGGGTTTCATTTTAACCTGTACGGGAGCATCCTCTTCCTGACGTGTCTCGCAGTTTTCCGCTATGTGGTGGTGATCAAGCCTTTGAGGGCTGCACAAGTGCAGCAGAAGTTTTGGGGAATAATTGCGTGCTCAGTCGTCTGGGTTGTTGCCGCGGCTGAAATTACACCCATGTTGACAATGATATCCTTGGGGCCGCATGACAATAATACCTCCTGCCTGGACTTTGCAAGCACCGTGCCCGTTGACAACATTCGGGTGTATGGCTGGCTGCTCACTGCACTCGGATTTCTACTCCCTCTAGCGGTGGTATTCATGTGTTACATTGGAATAGTGAAGGAGTTGGCGAAAGGGCCCTACACAGCCAGTCCATGTCGGATGCGAGCGCGGCGTGTGACCGTGCTAATCCTCGTAGTGTTTGTGGTGTGTTTCCTGCCATATCACATATTGCGTGTGTTGCGGATAGAAACTCGAAAGTACCAACCGACACCATGCATGGTTGAGCACATCGTGCATGCAGCATATATTATCTCCAGGCCTCTGGCTGGATTCAACACGTTTTTTAACTTGGCTCTGTACACTCTTTCAGGTGACAAGTTCAGGACAGCCTTCCTTAGCACTTTTTACTGGAAATGCTGGGTGACGAAGGTGAGGTCGCTGCTCCATCTGGCCGTTATCAGCAAGGCAGGCAGGGACATGCCTGCTGCCTGACTGACAACTGTCCAACACCTTTTTTTTTTTTTTATCTCTCAGGGCTCCTAGATGAAAACATTTAGGAGAACACAAAGAAATTCGGGAGCACACTGAAAAAAGAAGAAAGACAACAAACACAGGGTTTATTAACAACAACATATGTATACTATGTCTTTGCCTCACACTGTAGGAATATTAAATGCTTAATCACTCAGACTCGTGTCAGGAAAGCTACATGACAGCCATGGTTTCTTCATTATAGGGTGCCTACCAGAGACGAAGTTATACCTTTTCCACATATAGGCTGGAATCACATGAGTATTTACCTGATTAAAAATGCAATAGATTCTTTTGTTTGCAGCCATGAAAATAGCAGTTGAAGGGTTCAGTCTGTACTCCTGAAACACAGAAGTTAGTTTGCATTTCTGAGCTGTGGGTCAGATTTCCAGAAGGTTTTTGATTGATGCAGAAAATATGTTCTGTGATTTTCATGAAAAGTTTTACCACATAGCCTACTGTACATGAAACATGTATCTGTCAGTAGCAGTTTCACCAATACTCGTAAGGCACGGCATCTCATCAGCCTCGACTGTGCTTAGTTTGTAGTAATAATTTGCAAATGTTGGCATGCTAACACGCTAAACTAATATTATATAAGCTATATGAGCGTGTTTGCATGCTGACACAAGCATTTAGCTCAGAGCCCAGCTGTGTCTAAAGCTGTGTCTCAATTCACAGCCTTTCATACTTACACTTGCTACATTAAGTGCCTAAGAGAATTCACAATGACAAGTACTATGAGTACCTGGATGGTGTATTATGCTGATAATGATCTGCCCAGTTACAATTTGTTATTAAAAGAAGAAGAGGAAGAAGAAGAAGAAGAGGAAGAAGAGGCGGTCATATGTTCCAATTGTCGTTTGCGTTAAGTGTGCCACATCCGTGTTCGATTTGACACTACCCTGCCAAAATGTATGCACTAAACATTAAGTACATAGTGTACACAGTGTACTGCATGTTAACTGAAGTATATGAAGTAAGACACAGCTTAAGGACAGCTGCCTCACAGAGCTGCTAGCTTGGCTGTAGACTCTTTCCTTGCCAGATATCCAGCTAGTTTTCCCTGTGTGTTTTAACTGATGCAGAAAATAATAAAAACAAACCAATTTTTAAATATGTTACACGTGTGAGTATCGGTGTTTTTTTTCTTCTACTAAACTACACTATTTATTATTCACGAGCAAATTATTTTTGCTTTTATAGGCGGAGACTTGGCAAAGAATTGTAGCTAGCTAGCCCTTTTTAGTCCCTTCACATTATTTTGTGTGGTTCAAAAATCATAAAAAGTGTCATATTGTTTAACTATATGTAACTTATAGCATTGGTATATGATGAATAGTCTGCTGCATTTGTCTCCCCAACAGTGTGATAAAATAATTTTACAGCCCAACAACACCTCCTGGAGCTACTGATCCGTGAAAGATTGTACAGTATCTGACTACTCAGTTCTCTGTGCAGATGCATTCACTTTCCCCACAAGGTAACAAGGCAGGCAGCACATTCCTCATTTTGAAAGCCCGTATACTGCTCCCTACATTGCTGTATAGAAAGAGCTGACAACAAAAGAACCAAAGGTTTGGAGTTCTTCCAAGAGGTCGTTATTACCACATAACACACAAACTGTTTTAGAGGTAATCTTTGAGAACAGAAGCACCAAACATCCGTGTATCTTCATCTAACCTCTTGGAACAAATTCTCCCCGTCAACAGAGACACATCCTCAATAGATAAAGGAAGCTGTTACATTATTTGTCTATCACTGGCTTCATCCTGGATACCATATGTCATTCTGCTGCAGTACCCTGCATGGTTTATGGTTGAGATCACAATTCAAAACAATTAGTAATCTTTGTCAAATAACAAAGACTCTCATAATATAAGAGTACTCACAGTTAATTATCATAGGCTTATTTCATTTTAATCTTTCTCTGATTCATGCTGGGCAAGTCGAATAGAGACTGTAACTGGGGATGGAAAGGCTATTTTGGTCTGGGGACATAGCCATTTCCTTTTCTGCCTCCTGACTGATCTCATCCTCATTTTCCTTCTCATGAATAAAATGTCTGCATGGAGTGGTCGGGAAGTGCTTATTACAGCCGCAGGATATTAATATAAAGCAATCATTCCTGCACCTAACATCTCAAAGGCCTGTTGTCTGTGGAAATGTGTTGAAATAGATTGTTTTTCTACTGGAGTGCAAATGGAACGGCAGACGCGCTGAGTACTGTATGTTTGTCAGATTATGGAGGAAAAAGCATTCAGCAAGCCGCTGGGTTTCTTCTATTTTCTGCTGCGCCAGCGTCACAGTCAATTGAACTTTAAATGATCAATTTGGAAGTGAAGGGCCTGTGATCAATGAGCTAATGGTGGAAATACCAATGTTCTCTGTCTGTGATGTAAGAGCGCTGAAACTGGCTCTGACAGGCTGTCTTTCAGGCCCACAGCTCTCCTCTCTCTCCTTCGGAAAAAAAGCCTCATCAGTGTGCGTCAGTGTGTCTGTACGTGCGTGGATGTGGAAGAAGTTGGCACACTGCGTGAAGATTTCAGATTTTTATGGTGAGAACATGCTGTGAAAAAGGAGCAAGGTAGAACACATTCATGTACACATGCGTACCAGAGAGAGAGAGTCCATCAGGGACAAATTTACACCACTGGATGCTGCATATTTTTTATTGACCACATTTCCTGTGAGAAATTGCCTTGATTGTTTCTGTATATTGCAGCTTAAAACACACTGCAGACTTTAACAAACATTGTGCTTTGATATTCTTATGAAGCCAAACACCACAAACTACAAGATTTCACTTATCAACACGGCGCTAGATCACAAACATGACACAGAGTCAAGTCATTCACAATTTTTAAAAGAGACTAAAATCAGCCTTCCTCCTGTAGCACATTATTTTTTTCAGTTCTACTAATTATTAGCGAAATTTGAGAAACATTTTCACTGCTTTGAGAACATTCAAAGCATTTGCTAATTAATAAATAAATAAAATTCACAACTGCAGTGCCAAAAATAGCCATAAGAAAAAAAACAATACAAAATGTTTATGTTGCCATGACAAATACATCCATCATAAATATTAAGACACCATTCGGCAGTCCAACAAAGCGCTATATGAGGCTATGAGGGCAGGAGGTTTTGGCAGAGTCACAGCAGAGGGAGACAGTTGGAGGAGAGTAAAGCACAATGAATCAAACGGCGATCAGTCAGTTCATTGGTGTTGTTAGTTCCTGTGCTCTCCTCACCACCGCACCACCTGGCTGCTGTAGTCCTCTGTAGTGCTTACCTCCCCTAACACCTTCACCTCTTCCTCCCCCCACCACCACCTCCTCCTCCTCCTCCTCCTCCTCCGAGTCTCCACAGCTCAGCCAGATAGGTCCTGTGCAGCCGCTGCCTCTGCTGCCTCTCCTGCCACCTCCTCATACGCTCCTCCTGGTGCTGCTTCTGGCGGTTGTACTGGTAGCGCCGCAGGAACAGCTCCTTGGCGTACTCGTACAGCTCCACATCAAGGGCGTTCAGCCCCTCAATGCGCCACCGCACCTTCTCACTGATTCCCACGCTGGCGGCGCGTGTGCTGTTGATCTGCGTGAAAGCCCGGATGAAGCGCAGGCCGAACGTCCGCTCGAACAGGTACTGCGTCTTGCGCTGGAACTCCGTCAGGCCATAGAAAGCCATGTTGCGCAGGTTGGCCTTGGCGCTGGCGAGCAGTACGCGGCCTCGCTCCAGCTCACTAATGGTGGACATGTTGTAGCAGCCCACCAGGCTGAGGTCAGCCAGCATGCGAACCTGCCGGTTGTTGGCTAGGTTAGAAGGGCAGCTCATGAAGTCTGCCAGGGGCACGCCTGTCCAGTCATCACCACTGTAGCAGGCAGGGAGCTCATCCTGAGTGGGCGGGCGGCCGTCACACATGTGGAGGGCGGTTTTCCAAGTTGCCCCACGCTGCACGTGCTTCCACTCACTGAGGTAGCGTGACACAGGGTCACGTAGCATGGTGATGTAGTAGAAATTTCTGCAGAGACAGATAAAGAGATACATAAGACGAGCTGTCTAGCATGCACGTTAGCTCAAGGACATGCTCGGATTATGTCTAGATTAACTTTTTGTCACACATTCTGGGATATGCACTTATTCCTTTTCTTTCTGAGAGTCAAATGCTCTCATTTCAAGCCAAGAGACGCTTCACTAGATTAGCCTACAGACAGGAAACAAGGGGAAACAGCTAGCTTAGCTAGCCCCACCTACCAGCACCTTTAAAGCTCACAAATTAACACATTTGTTTAAAAAGTGTAATAAACATCTGCTGGGCTGTTTCTGGGCCAGGCATGCTGATGTTTTTACATTTTGCTTTGTGTTTTTTTATGTTAAGCTAAGCTGCTGGCTTTCTCGACGAGAAATACAATATATACATATACAATACAATACATTCACTTTGGTTTGGTTCTCGTACCAACATAATTATCGCAAGCTCTTGTTCATCACTGTTTATTACTTTTTAACCTTTGCGTAGACAATATGTGTTCAGTCAAATAGCCCCAGCATTCTTTTACAACATCATCAACAGCATTAATTTAGATTGTATCTGTGCATGCAGTGAAAGATACACGGGTTGACAAACACCATGAGCAACACTTTCAACACAGTGGAGGATAAAGCTATACATCAAATCTCTCATATCCTGCTGCAGTTGAAAAAACAACACAGCGCTTGAAGTATACAGAGAGCACTGAAAATGTGATTAGGGTTTAAATGAAGAACATCAAGTCTGTCTGAGGGTGTAAGAGAATAATGAGCAGTGCAAACCAAGCATGTATAGCATTTAATATCCTGCAGATGTAAAACAATTTTAGCTTTTGTCACACTAATCTCCTCCTGCCTACGTGTGGAAACGAGTTTTATTCGCCTCCATCACCTTTTTGGATTTTCTGGATCCCTCTGATCTGATCGGCGCTTCAGAAATTGCTATAACTCAGCTGCACGAAAAAACCTTTGAACAAACACAGCTTTCTGCTGTTATCTATTTAGTTGAGCGATGACCGGCATTACCGTGAGGTGACTGAAGGAGTCGGCGCCCGGGAGAATTTCAGCCATTTTCGAAAAGTTTTTTTTTAAAAGGAAGACCGCATAGATAAAAGGGAAACTGAAAGTGTTCATCTTGTGTGCAAAGATCACTGTGACCTTACAGTGTCAGAGACAGAAACCAAATACACAGCCCAAATAAAAAGCCCAACATTTCGTTTCTTTCATTCCACAGGGCTGCAGTTTACCTTCTGGGAGCTTTCAATTCAACAGCTAAATAAAAGATTCAGATTCAAGGACATGGTACCGCAATGCTGCTCTTCAAAATTCTATTACAAGAATGGTCAGTTTTCAATACATACAGTCTTGTAACTCCTTGGTGCTTCTTTCTTGGACTACCTGTTAGCTTGCTAGTGTAAATCACTAGAGTTTTCCATTTGATGTTCTCTCCTTATGAGTAAGTCTCTGTAGGCTGAATTTGGCTGAGAACAGCACAGAACGCTGTGATGAGCGCCCAACATCAGATCCCTCGTGGTTTGTAGATCTCTTTGTGTACAATATATACACATTCAGCACCTGAGCGTGTGTGTGACTGTGTGATTATAAGTTGAGAGCGAGTATGGGCTATTTGTACAGAGAAAAGCCGACACGCTGGCATATTTGGTGGTGAAATACTTAATCTGAGTTACTGTATTTTCATCAGTAAACCTAGAAGCACTCTACAGTTACTGTAGAGCTTTTTTTTGCTACAATGAAGAGAAAAACTGGCAGCTAATTATTAAACGGAGAGCAAGACCACATCCACTCTACTACGTTTCATTTTAAAACGCAGCACTTTTGCCCGATTACGCCTGTCGTCCAGGCTGAAACTGCAGAATCTGAACACCTAACGCAGCAGCTTTCATTCACACTTTCATCAGCTGATTTTACTCGCAGAGCTGGCTGCTTTTATCAGATGCAATAGGTGAGATCGGCTGGATGAGCGGCTTTATTTTCCTTTGCTTACTTCATTAGAGACTTTAGTGCAGTGTTGTCCGACTCCTATGTTTTATTGTCGTATTCGGACTA